CCTTCATATCTGCATTAGATCCATCGTGTTCATCAACGATGTGAAGGTCTTTACATCTTCCGAATCTTCTCCGTCAAATGCGATTCGATTGGTGCATGCTGTGTTGCATCAGAGAATCTTCCTTTTCCCTTCGTGTATGTTGAGACCCAGTGCTACTGAGGCTGTTACTACACTGGTTGTCTTCTGCGTTTGTTGTTGCGTTTGCGATAGAAGAGCTAGATCGTCCAACTGCATCCTAGATGTCCACTGTATCCCATGCTCCCCCTCAGATGTTGATTTCTTCATGATCCAGTCGATCACCAGGAGGAAGAAAGGGTGAGAGTAAACAACCTCGTCTGACGTCGGTCTTTACTTCGAACGAGTCTGTTACCTGTCTCCCAAGCACGATTCTTCAGTTTAATCCATCATAGGAATTCCGTATGATACTGACTATCTTCTCAGGTATGTTGTAGTGTCGAAGAAGCCTTCATAGTGTTGTCCTATCCACGCTATCAAGTGTTTTCTGATAGTGAATAAAATTGCTGTAGAGTGATAAATTTCATTTAATTGATTGTTCCACAATGATCCGTACGGAATCCACCCTATCGGTCTCGAAGTTGGGCGGCTGCAGAGCCCTTCATTCTGCTTAGCAATACCCTGTTGAAGACTTTTCTTGGTATTAAGAGAAGAGTGATGCCTCTGTAGTTATCACACATGCTGAGATCACCTTTCATTGGTATCTTGATGATACGTCCTTCTTTCCAGTTTGTTGGTACTTGTTCTTCGTCCAAAATCTTGCTGAAGAGAATGTGAAGTATCCTTGCAGTTACTGCTACATCTACTTTCACCGCCTCTGCTGGAATGCTGTCTGATCTTGTTGCTTTGCCGCTTCTGACTCGTCTGATGGTCGTGGCGATCTCTTCAATTGTTGGTGGGCGAAAATCGATTGGGCGGTCCGTGGGCGCTACTTCGATGTTGGGTGGGTTCAGTAGAGCTGGTCGATTCAAGAGTTTTTTGAAATGCTCTACCCACCTGTAATTCCGTTCTTTAATGTTGGTGATTACTTTTTCTTCCTTGCTTTCCACTAGTCTTTCCGGTTTGCGATAATTTTCAGGGAGTTTCTTTGTCGTGTCATACAGTTGTTTTATGCTTCCTTCTCTTGCAGCCTTCTCCGCCGTCATTGCCAAATCTTCCATATCTTTACATTTGTCAGTTCTCATGTTCCTCTTCACTTCCTTGTTTACTTCTGTGTATTCAGCTTGTGCCTTGGCTTTCTCTACTCTTGTCCGGCTGGTATTGATTGCTGCTCTCTTGTTCCTCCACCTTGAATCATATCCAGTGTATCAACAGTGATCCATTCTTTGTGATGGTGCTTCTAGTGGCTCAGAACCTCATGACATGTTGAAGTGATTGCCTCATTTATCCCTTCCCAGTTGCTCTCCATGATAGTTCCCTCTCCATTAAGTAGATCGTGGAAGGCCTGGAACCTATTACTGAGGGCCGTCTTGAATTTGTTGAGTTTATCAGTATCCCGAAGAAAGGTGTATTGGATTTTTGTGATGTTGTCCGCCCCGTCGTCTAGTGCTTCTCGAGTTTCAATCTCATCTTGGCGACCAGCAAGGGATCTGAAGCTATATCAGCCCCTCTTTTGGTTCTCACATCCTCTATCGTCCTCCTGAAACCTTTGTTGATGCAGATATGGTCGATTTTGTTACGTGTAGCGTGATCCGGTGAAATCGACATGGTTTCGTGTATGTGTTTATGTGACAATATAGTGGCGCCTATGACGAGTTTATTGAAAGCACATAGGTTTGCAAATCTCTCACCATTTTTGTTTCTTTCTCCCAGTCCATGTCGTCCCATGATATCTTCATATCCGATGTTGTCCATTTCAACCTGAGCATTTAGGTCTCCCATCAGAGTAGTCGATTCCTTTGTTGGGCAGTTCTGGACGATTGACTGCAGTCTATTGTAGAACTGATCCTCAACGTCCTCATTATAGTCGTTGGTAGGCGCATTGCATTGAATACTGTTCATTGTAATGACCTCTTCCTTTGTTTTGAAAAAGGCTTTGATGATCTTTGGCCTGTGAGATTTCCATCCTATAAGTGCATTTTATGCTCGTTTGTACAGAATCATTGCAACTCCTTGTGTATGTGGAGCATTTTCTTCTTCATGGCCGAAAATATTAAAAGCTCCCCTGGAGGTAGTCGTTGTTGTCCAGCCTGCGTCCAATGTGTTTCACGGATTCCAAGCACCTCCAGGTTGTATCTCCTCATTTCTGCAGCAATTTGGAAGATTCTCCCGGTCTCCCACATTGTACGAGCATTCCACTACCTAAATGAATGGTTACCCTTGTTGTTAGAAGAGATATCAGCTTCGTGACTTCCAAAAGAAATCGGTTTTCACCATGAGGCGTCATAACATCTCTAAATGAAGACATGACTCCCAGGGCAGAATTTAAATAGTTTGAATTATTTTTTCTGGTTGACGTTTTTTATGCGAGTTGGTTTTCTACGGGATGGGGTCGCTAACCTCATGCCCAACCCTTCCCCTTTATTCGGGCTTGGGACCAGCGGTAGCCCCAGAGGGGCCCCAGGCGGGGTAACCATTATTTATACTATCCTTTAAATTGTATTTCGATACTAAATCTCACTGACTATGTGAAGTTGCATGTCCAATTAGGTAAGTCTGTCACAGTTTTTTTTAAGTATTTTTGTTCAGAAAACTGTCTCATATATTTTGGTTACACAGTATCATATTAATTCTAAATGTTGTCATTCCTCTTTAAAACTAAATACCGCTACATTCTCCAATTTTGACTAATACCAGCTTACATTAACCATGTTGTTCATTTGATACTGAATATAAACAGATCCAGATTGCTTTTTAGAATTATGGTCCACTTCGTTATTAGTACCACTCCAATAATAGACTCAACCCTAAATTTGTAGATTTGTCACGATGTAACTGCTTAATCTGCAAGGTCTTGCGTGGAAGTCACACCATCGTCTGCCCTGACTCATCGTGTTGTAATAGTCATCAATATATGATGAAGAACACATGTAAGCTAAAAATAGAAAAATATATTTCGTATGGATAAAGGCTATTTTATATGAGTATGACCACGCCTGCAAGGTCGAGCCATGCGATCCAATGAATTTAAATTTATTGAATTCATTCTTTCCGCCTTCTCCTTCGCTGGGTTTTTATCTGCATTAAATGCTGAATAACTATTTTCCCAGTTGTCTCATGTTCAGCTTTGAGGATTGTGGTTAGGACCCAACGTCACTATATGATTACCAATGATTTGTGCAAACACAGTCCGATATCCGTCCTTTCTTCCATTCTAATATTCGAATTTCGCTTGAGTTCGTATTGCTGTTGTTATTTTGTTATTGCTATCATGATTGATCCTCTGACACATTGGATATCCTTTGCTTCACCTATTTTTCTTGCCTCGCTAATTTCCGTCTACACATACTTTATAATCAAACATTCGAAGTTTATAATTGAAGTCACATTATTTTGTGTTACAAACTGTCTTTTCAGGTTCATTTTATCTTCGCGACGTATATATGTCCCATGCAAATTGATATGTGACGATAAGTCTCTGTAAGTAATTAAGGCTTTCACTGCATCATTCTAAACTATTACTGCTCAAACTCTTATTCTACCTTCAAACCTTACAGTAATAACGACTTATCTATTCTTTGAATCATTTTGTAATACATTTGTTTCCGCTTATTCGTATTCTGTTTCACAAACGCACTTGTTAGATTAATACATATTTTGAGCTTCCTTCGATCATCTTTTCCCATTTTTTCCCTTAAGTCAACTCAACATTCTTCTAAATTCTACAGAACCTATTTAAATATGGCGGATATTATGCGAAAATCATTGGAATTTGTGTATAACTACATTTCTGAAGAGGCCCAAAATAGTCTTCTTTCAATAATAATTTACTAGTAAGCTGTGTGTGGATAATGACAATTACATACAAATTCCCAGATGTGATTGCAAATACAGCTAAAGAGTTTAATATTTACTGAAAACTATATGGGCTAAATGATGACTTATTTTCATTTTCCGTGTTGTTTAATCGTTTTTACACTGTTCGAAGTGATCTAAAACCATTACTTGAAGCCGACACGCATGAATGATTGATATCAAGTGAGTTGAACTAGTTTACTTCAGAGATACTAGATTTTTGACGCCTTTGTGTTGAAAGTTAATAGTTCTGTAATACAGAAAAATGATAAGGAAAATCATCAGGAAAAGCCGGCTCATCGCTCAGATATTGGGTATCTAAGTACCACACTTATCGTTAACCTAATAGAATACTTGTTAACTACCTACTATTATTATTCGTCGTATTAATACTATCATTATTTTGATCTATCATTTTCTCTTCCTATCTTGTTTCTTAACCGTGTTTCCTTGAGTTTTGCTCAGTCATTTATCGGTTTGATTAATTTCCACGCTTCTCTTTGTTTTGTGGCAGGCGAACAACCAAAGTATTTGAATAATGATGTAGATGTGAATCCAAATGACTTAAGTAGGTAAGAGTTAATGACATACACAAAATGAATGTAAAAGAATTATACAGTTATTTGCAAGCGGTAAGTGATTTCATGTTCATTAGGTCAAAATAAGTCTAAAATTATGACACGGAATTGCTGGGCCCTAATTGTCAAATGCGACTAAATTTTAAGTTAGATAATCGGATAGAATAATGTCAAGTACACCAGCTGAAGATATCCAACATATATGCCAAAAACCTGAAAAACGAACAAACTGAGAATAGCGTGCTAAACACTAGTGAACGAACTTAGAAAACATTCTATAGCCAAGAGCAAAAACTGTTGGAAGTCCGAACAATGATAATACACGTCGAATTCAGTGGAACCAGATCAGTTTAGCACTCAGACAAAAAGTAACAAAAAACATGTGAAAGCTACCTAACGCCTGAAGATAAAAACAAAAATATCATCCAAGTCATTCTAGCTCGTCACAAAAATATTGGATATTGGATCTGCTAGTGACTAAACCAAGTGTTGCGTTGCATGCATTACCTCGTGTGAGGTGGGGTCAGAGTGTTTTTTTTGTGTAAGGTCACACATTTACGTCTAGTTTATGAACTTTCGGTCAATATTCATGCAACAATATGCGTCATTATGATTTAAGATGCCTTCAGCACTTTTATGATGATCTCATTAGTAATAAGCTTATAAGCATCTTCACTAATTGAATTATCTGAACCCTACTTCTTCCTTGGATTTTTTTCGTGGTTAATTAGACTGTCATCCTCAGTTCAGACAGGCCTCCGATTCTGTGATAATTTCAGTTATTTCAATGAGGGGTTTTAACTTTTCATTGATTTAACGAGTTCGAAATTCATGCCGGCACCTGTATTTTGGAATCTGAAGCTGTCTTATTCTCGCACTGTTGTTAATCGCTTTCATCATAAGGTTTAGGCACATCTTGTGTACTTATTCGGACACTTTCAATATATTTGTCACGAGCTTGTATAAATCGATTGATTCCTTTGCGCTCGTTTATTTTATGCGGTTCCAGCTATTTGGTAATGTCCAATAGTTAATAGTCTGGCCACTCGACTGCAGTAATCCCAGTCAGTTTGGTAGACATTTGTGGACTTGTATGTTTTGTAGTTTGTGTGTGTTGGTCACAGGGGTCGTAGAGCTTCTGTATATCAACAGCTATCATATTGCCTGGTAGGTTTGTTTGTTGCAATGTAAAAATAATAAAGTGATAATTTGAGTCATAAGAGAAGACTATTGTTATAAGAGCAAATAAGTAAGTCATTTAATTTGTGTTTCAGGCGGTGTGAAACGTAAGGGGGAAAATGAGAGAAATGAAAATAAGAGAGATAGGAAGTATTACTGATATTCAGTAATAATAGTCGTGTTAAATTATAAAACATTCATAGACACAGCTGATTCAAGAGAGAGATGCCAACTCATAGGTCAGTTTGTGTTTGTCAAGTATCCTCTGGAAGCTATCCACTTAGGGGGCTGCATTTACTTCGCTCAGGGGAGCATTTTAATCGGGAACAACTCTTAATGAGTAAATGTGAGAACGTACCTGCGTGTTTTTTCAATTTTCAACCTTTCTAGGGTTATTTTGAGGAGGGTAGTGGCAATGTTCGTGTAGATTCCGTGTTAAGCTAACTTAGCGTATCTAATAAATTGTATACCATTACCAAACCACCTTTTATTCCTTTAAACTTCAGTAAGTATTCCCAAATGTTTGAATATCCTGGTTTTTAAGCAGATTGCCTAAAGTATGTCGGCCAGTTTCGTGCAAACTGACCCCTAGGTTTTTTTCTTGCATAGCGTGTCTCATTAGTTTGATCATGGTCTTTGAGTCTTGTACTGCTGGTTGTTATTTAAGTTAAACGACACTAAGGTGTGTTCTCTCTGGCTTTCCCGATGTTGTCTAACGAGGCAAATAATTCCTAAAGCATCACAAATCATCAGGCCCAGTTGACTTACCTGCTGCCCTTGTTAAAGATAGTGGCGACCTAATTAAGGAACTGAGTGGGTTGTTTACGGTCTGAGAACTAGAGTGGGTTCCAATATCATGGAATTAGCCGATAGTTGTCATTTCTGAACTAACTACCGTGGGTTAAGTCTACTTCCGGTCGCGTCCAGATTATTGGCTTCCATCATACTTCGTAGATTGTTCGAAACCTGAGAAATATTAACTCTTGAGGAGCAGGCTGTTTTTCTTTCTGATTGAGGATGTTTTGATCATATATTCACCTTCCATCAAATGTTAGAACGCTGTCATACTTATTACACATAAACAAACCTAATGTTTTTTGACATTAGGGCGGCCTTCGATTCGTTGGACAGGGTTGTTCTTTGGGATTGTCTATTGATGGTGTGCCTGAGAAGTTGATTAACATTTTTAAAGCCATATATACTGACACTTCATACAGAGTGAGGACATACAACCACCTCTTTTCAAATTTCTCATCAAGGACATTCTGGAAACAACTCTGATGGAAGTAGTTAATAGTGGTGTGGATCTGTTACCCGAAGAAGGCTTCGACCTTGAGTATGCGGACTATATTGTCTTACTGTGTGGTGATACCCAAGCCATACAGTTCGCACTTAATCAGTTGGTAGTCAGTGTCCGTAGGTGTGGCATATGCTTTGTACCTTCCAAGTGCAAAGTACTTCTACAAGACTAAGCTTACACTCACCTTAGATAATGAGCAGGCAGAAGCAGTCGAGAAGTTCGTATATCTGGGTAGCTTGCGTAAGTGCTGTTGATGGCATTAGTGATGAGATCCATTGATGTATAGTTAAACCCGGAACAGCTTATGCGAATCTGGGCCATCCTTGGCGCCTTCGTGATGTTACTCTGGTTGTAGAAAATCGGATCTACAACGCGTCAGTGACAGCAGTTTTATTCTATGCTTGTCAGACCTGGCCTCCGAGTTGAGGATGTGAGATGACTCTGTGTTTGACCATCGTTGTCTCCGAAGGATTGCTGACACCCGGTGGCAAAACCATGTTAACAGTGCAGAAGTTCGGCATCGTGTGTTCGGGCACAGAGACGATAATCCAATTGGTGTCACCACCTTGAAACATCGGCTACGATGGTTTAGTCATGTCCTACGAATGTCGTCCTAGAGAATCCCACGCCGTGCATTATTTTCCGACTCTGCAACCTATTGGAAAGAGCGAAAAGGTGGTCAGTGTATGACATGGTGTCGTGGTATGAGAGAAATATGTACAGGACTGGCTTCTCTCAGTCCTTCACGACTCCCTGGTTGGGGTCCTAGAGATGATGCAACAGTGATTAGAGACGTTATTTGACATGGTTTAAAATAGAAACCAGTGGCAATCCTATTTTAACTCCCTTTTACTTTCTTCGTTAAAGTAAACGTAACTTCTTCAATTAGGATTCTGGTTGTATTTTTCCCAACTGAGCTATTTCTCCCATAGTAATAATAATTATTCACTCATACACTATTTTCTGTTCGTTGTTGTTTTTCTTTTTGTTATACGTATTGTACATTCTCTATCTCCTCACAGCCTCATTGCTACTGTGTGGCGCATATGTATTAGGTTCCCCGTTATTCCAATGTCCATGTGTCCAAATGAAATAAAAAAAATAGAAGTAGGGACATGGGTAAAAGTGTGATCTTGATTAGTTAGTTAGAGATTCAGTTTTGGTGATGAATTGAGTGATCCATGTTGTACACAATACTCTGACGTTCATTGTCTGGTGTTGTCTTGAGCTTTCTTAAAATCCTGTTCGTAGAAACAAGGATTTTTGACTTATCAAACTGTTGATTAAGACCTTTTTCTCTTCTAGTAGTGCTTGGAGTTTTAGTATACATACTGTTGCAACACTGGCAGAGAAATCCAATTCAGGGCCTCTCCGCAGAAATATTGAGTAGTAGGGGTAACATAACTAACTTGAGTGGTTGGCAGAGATCGGACTAATCCACCACTCTTTCGTAAACCGAATTAAACGGAATTCCATTTGTTGGGGCTCCTAAAAATTTTACGGGTTTCCCTATGTTTATGTATGTGAATTGCGTGGGTTTCGGCTTGTGGGGTATATATATGTGGGTATGTACAGAGCGTACACGTGTGGTTTAGCAAAGCGGACGTAAGCTGAAATGTCTGCCCTATTTCTTATAAAATCTCTGGCCTAATCCTTTAGGTCGAAGACATAATAAAAAGAGATGGCAGCAAATACTAGGGAGAGGTGACCATTAATGTTCCTTGAAAGAGTGCTTATGCCTATAGGTATATCATGAAGTGTAGGGTCGAAAGCCTTTTACCAGCGATATGCACGTAATGCGTAAGTTACCGTCACTCGTATTAAATGTTTCTAAAGGAGTGGTAACCATCTACCCTTCCAGGTGGGTAAATATACTTACATGTATGCTATGTGATGGATGAGTGAAAACTTGTATGTTACCGGTGTAGATGTAGATTATACTTACCTCTGGTGAGACATCTGCGTGCCTAGACCTAAGGGTGGGTTTATAAACCTTAGGAAACGGAAACCGTTTCTAGAAAACCAGTCGGGTTCACCGGCTAAGGCTTGACCAACCTTGACACCGTACTGTGCATATTACTAATTAGACTAAAGGTAAAATATAGGACAGTTTAAAGAGGAAGTGCACAAGACGAAATTTTTGAAACAGACAAATAATGTACGTAAGTGAGTATATGCCACACAAGAATAGAACCTAAGATATACCAAAAATTGCAACGTTACCTTTGACCATCCTAGCAAGCGACTTCGCGTGTATTTAGTAATTTATTCATAAGTCCCGCGTTTGAAAGTTAATGGATTTGTGTATGTTGCATTTGAAGCAACTAGTAAGAGAACAGTTGGTCGAAACATTTTCTTCCGTCATTCTGCTTACCTGCTTTCTGCCCTCACTCCGCTTTGCACGTTCTCCCAACAGTTAAAATACCTAAGTGGAAATAGCTATTATTAAACGGTTTGCCAATGTACAAGTTCTCAGTGATAACTGTCAATTACCCCTACTCCTCAACTAGTAACGTTTGAGTTCACAGAACTTGGTTTTCATTATTTCCTATTCTAGTATTCAATCCTACTTGTTATATCCAAATTGCTTTACAGGGTTAACAATAAAGTCGCTTCGTCAGTCAAACTGGTATGGCTGTAATCTCAGATATAAGGTATGTATGAATTTGAATTACTATTGTTTTAGAAAGCCAAAGACACATAAAGGGAAAAGAGTCTTAGAGCGAAGAGCTCCTAAATTAGTAGAGAATGACAAATGCACCCTTGTCATAAAGGGTGGTCATACAAGTGACGTTGTTAATACGTTTCTCAATGATTTAGTGAGTCGTATGTATTTGTCTTTTTATTATTAGTGCGCTTTGAAAAAACCACTTGTTTATCGTTTAAAGTGGAAAAATAGAGTCCTCCCCTTCGAAGATTTATCATTTATTGTAAGTTTCTTTCATAACTGTTCTATTTTGAAGGAGAAAATGTGTAATAAGTTCGACTGCTCAATGTTTGTCGTTGGGATGCATTCCAAGAAAAGACCGCATAACATTATTTTTGGAAGGCTGCATGATGGTGAGCTACTAGATATGTTTGAACTTGGCATAAAAATGTACAAACCGATATCGGATTGTAAAGTAACTTACAGACTAGTAATACTAACTCCTCTTAAGGACAAAACTCTCATATATGGAGCTAAGCCCATGTTATTATTTTCTGGAGAGTTGTTCAACTTAGACACAAAACATATGACTTTAAAATCTTTGTTAGTAGGTACGTTGGTTGTTCTGTGTTCGGATTTTCTTAGATCTTTTCAAGGGCCCAACAGTTGAGAAGATAAGAACATTAGGTGTTGAACACCAGTTCCACTTTGTTTTGTCGTCAGACAAGAATTTATGTCTTCGCGTCCGGAAAATTACCCTGTCAACAAAAGGCAAAACAAACTCAACTGAACTCAATGTTCCACCTCTAAAGACTCCAGATGGTAAAGTAGTTCAGATTACACTTGAAGATGCTACCCCAAGTGCTGACTTTGATCTACGACGAGTATCTTTGCCGTCCGAGGTAAGTAACAAAACCCTCACATTTGATTCACTTTATATTGATTAGTTGCTTAGTAGTGACGAAAGTCACATTTGTCTAGTTCTTAGTGTTGATTGAGTTCTGTCGACTGAGTTATAATTAGTTACTAGTCGAAGTGGTTTGACATCTTGTCTGCTATGTTCTAGTAATTGTAATCTCCTTCCAACTCTACATTTAAGACACTTTTTGTTATTCTGTCTGCTTCATCCGATTTCTTCACTTAAATTAAAATCATCGTATATTTTTATTCCTCGAATTCACATATTCTCAAATTAAACTATCTATACATACTGTCTAAACTATCATTACTTTGGAGAATTTGATGATAAAACGAAGGTTATCGGGATTATGTACTTAGTTTGCGCAATGCATTTCGAACAATCTGATCATACATATACTTGTTAAAACAAAAAATTAAGGGTTAACTAGACAAATTAAAAGGTAAGGTGAAGCAAGGATACTAACAAAATACAGGATGGGAAAGCCAAACTGAATAATAAATCAGTAATAACAGGGTAGATTTAGGCTAAGAACCAATTATCTTTGTGCAGGTAAAGGGGGAAGTTTCACTACTTCATCAATTGATTTGCCATCCTTACCTAGTACCCGTTTCCTAACAACGGCGTTACTTACTCGGCGGTTATGCGAGCAATGCTTCGAAGACACCTATGATCGAATGCTAGTAACCTACGACTATCCTCTACTTTTACCGGCCATGTTTCACAGTCATAAAGTAAAACAGAACGGACTGCTGCGCAGTAAACCGGTCCTTTGGTTGGTAGACGGATACCTCGCCCATGTCACAGATGACGCAAGTTGGCAAAAGCTAGTCGAGCCTTCTGTATCCGTGCTGAGATTTCGTCACACACCAGACCACAAGGGCTGATGAGACTTCTGAGATAAGTGAAGCGGTCGACACGCTCAACTACTTCACTCCCTATCATTTGTTGGGGTGTCGGTGCAACCCAATCCTGAAGAAACATTTTGCATTTCGAGGGGGAGAATCGCATGCCGAACATAGTTGGATTGTTGCCTATAGTGGTCAGAAGACTCTGCATTTTATCAGCATCTTCACCAAATAAAACTATGTCAACAAGTGAATCTCCCGGTAAAAGTTCAACTCCTGGAAATTTAGATGAAGAAAATGTTGTCTCTGAAAGCACGTGTCAACGACAAAGTCATACAATAATAGAGAGAGTGGACAGTCCTGACGAACACTACTGGAGGTAATCAATTCTGATGACAGTTCGCCATAAGCTCTCACTCGACCTGTTGTGTTTGAGTAGAGAGCCTTTATAAGGTTAATGTACTTCTTTGGTACTCCTTTCAGTGACAAACTGCCATAGAACCTCACGATCAACAGAGTCAAATGCCGCCTTAAGGTCGGAAAATACTACTATTGTGATGCGTCTAAATGTGTGTCTATGTTCTAGGGCCTGACGTGGTGTGAATATCTCGTCTATACAACCACGTCCAGCTGGAAAACCAGCCTGATTTTCTTTAGTCTGCTCTTCACGAGCTTTAGTTAGGGGTCGAAGTATTATTGAATCTAATATTTTAGACACTATAATTGTCAAACTGATTCCTCTGTGATTGTCACAAGAGGAATTTTGTCCTTTCTTATAGACTGGCACAATCAGTGATTGAGACCAGTTAGATGGGATTACGTTTAGTTCCCAAATTCTGCCTAGGAACTCAGTCGATATCACTGCTAATACTGGACCACCATCCATAAAAATCTCAGGAGTAAACCCGTCAGGGCCTGCTGCTCTTTCTTGTTTCAGGTTTCCTATAACTCACTCAACTTCATAAAGAGTCGGAGAACCTGCATTAGCTTGCCATTCTGGTCGACTGGAGATCGTGGAAAACTAAAGTGTGGCTGAAGGCCAGTTGAACTGATCCCTAAAGTGTTCTGCCCATCGATCCAATCTCCTGGATTGAGAATGTATAATATGTCCATCTTTCTCTGAGAGTGTTTTGCTAACAGTCGGTTTCCTTAACAAGTCTGAACAATTGTCTGCTATTACCTATTGCCGCTGCCTTTTTCATCTCTCTTGTTTTCGCTACCCACCACTATTTGCGATTATTGCGTAGGCTTCTTATCAGCCTGCGCTTAAGCTGACTCTGCTCTTCGTTATGTTCAGAGCCAGATGGAATGAGTTCCCGAGCATCTATCAGTGCGGTAGATGCTGCTGAGATCCAGTGTTGCTCCCTAACCTTACGGGTTACCATACTAGCAGATATCACTGTTGTTTCAGCAGCTTTTCGGATATTCCACGCTCCCTCAATGTGAGCATCACTTATAATGGCTGCCTAACTGTTTTTCTAGTTGTTCCTGAAATACATTCTTAGCTTGGCTATCATTAAGTAGGACCCTAGGAGGTTTCCTTGCAGCATCTTTCCTACGTCCAGTAAGACACAGACAGATACGCGCTCGCACTAGAGCATGATCTGAATCTAAGCATGTGCTCCAGAATGAGCGACAGTCTTCATTCGAGCTCCTCCATCGGTGGTTGCTATGTCAAAAGATGTTTTTTCTTATCCTTAAAGATAGTATTTACAAGAAACAGACGGTCGCCATTATCTGTTCTTTGAGCCACGACTATAAGATCCACCCAGGTGTCTTTCCCTATCGCTTAGTTTACTTACTTGAGCATTAAAGTCACTGGCCATTATTACTACATCCTAGCGCTTAGCTTTTCGGAGAAGGTCGGAGAGCTTTCTGTGAAACTCATCTTTTACATCATCTGTGCTGCAGTCAGTTGGAGAATAGGCAGACGACGAAGAGGCAACGACGAGTGTCACTATCTTTCCGAGTCCTCACTGTTCCGTTTAGTCGGACAGCGCACAAACGACGGTCTACTGGGATCCAGTCTAAGAGAGCTAGTTTTGCCCTAGGACTCAATGCTATACCTGCGCCGGCGAGTCCACGAGAAGCAGCATCTGGGCTTCCGGATACACGAAGCATCGATCGAGATGGTTCTTTATTTTGACATAGCGAGGTCAAATGAATGACGCTACTCGGATCCTTTACGCGCGTTTCGGAGACGCAGCACATATCAATGGCGCGGGATTCTAAAGTCTTAGCCAAGGAAGCCTGTTGTTTTATTTGGCACAGTGTTCGGACTTTGAGAGCTCCTACATGTAGTTTAGAGCGTAGTTTTAGGAGATCAAGAATAACGTTCCGCGTACTCGAATCGTTTGCCCTAGCGGTGTGAGGTGATAAGGGACGTGAGAAGGGTTAGTCGCGGGAGAAAAGATAGTTATTAGGAGGTGTAGGAAGGATTTGAATGTGACCAACTTGTTCTCGTGTGTTGTCATGGGTATGAAAGCTGATATCACTTCCCGGCTGTCCATATCGTGGAAGGGTGTTTCTTGAGGAACCTGAAATGGGAATTGGATTAGTGTTGGTCTCAAAGACCTGGGAGCGTGACCGCAGAGCCCACAGGGCAACTACTTGAGGCCGGTCTCGCACGGCCCTTTTGTTTTTTTGACGTGTTAGCTCCGTTCTTCAAAGGGCTTTACCGCCGGAGACGGAAATCCGTGAGGTAAGGTGAGGCGTGACATTTTTAGGGTCGACCTTTTCTAACCCCACCCCTCCTTGTGGGAAGGCAGCATCGCTGCAGATGCTGGTTGTCTGAGGGAAACACCTTACTGCTGTCACACCTCTCTACAGTCAGCAGTACGACTTCGCCCTCAGACCTTGAGTTGCTGCTTTGAGTCTTACCGTTCTCCAATCGATCTGCCTGGCATGGTAGAACCTACAGGAGCATATGTTCCAGCCAATATAGCTCGGTTTGGTCATCACGATAGGCAAGTCCGACCACCGCGTCGACGTAGCAGAAATACAACTCAGCATAGTCTATTCTTGGTATTAAGTCTCACTTTATACACTAAGAGATCAAATAAGATGTCTATACTTAGGGTTATAACTGTGATATCAAACTCTTTATTGTGCATTAGTTAAGTAACGACAGTGGTATCAATACGTTTATCGTTAATGATTAAGAATATCATCAGGCTTATAATTTACTATTGTGTTTGATATCACATTGACAATAAAGCACAACAAAAGTTCATAGATATTTCACCACATGCTTTCAATGTATAATGTACACCTTTAGATCTTTAGGTCACACTGTCTGAGAATGGAGGGTAGTTGTGGAGTAGCTAAAGGCCAGCTGAACTGTTCTCTAAAATGTTCCGCCCATCGTTCTAAACGTCTGGACTGGGAGCAGACGAGAGTATTTTCTTTTCCCGAGATATTCTCACGTACAATCGACTTAATAATTCCAGTTTCTTTTATTAGTGTGAAAAGCTGTCTGGCGTTACCTACAGTTTTTGCCTTTTCCATCTCTTTTGCTTTCGTTGCCCACCGCTGCTCACGGTCGTTCCTTAGACTTTTGGTTAAGCTATATCTGATTTGTTTTCGCTCTTTATCGTGTTCGGAGCCAGATGGGATAAGTTCACGATAATCTATCAGTGCTAAAGACTTAGTAGAAATCCACTGATTTTTCGTGACCTTTTGGTCCAAATCACTAATAGATGTCACTGCTGTTTCCACAGAATGAGCGACAATCATGTACCGACCCTCTCCAACGATGACTGATGGCAATATGGTCTATTTGAGTTCATCGTTGGTTTGGTGCAGGGGGTCGCCATGTTAGACGATGTCTCTCCTTATGCTTAAAATTTGTGTTTGCTAAAAATAAACGATTGTCTGAGCACAGTTGCAGCAGACGATCACCATTATCTGTTCGCTGTGTCAGAATACTAAAATATCTACCTAAATGCCTTTCTGTTTGGTTTAAACTACCTACTTAGACATTAAAGTCACCCCTACGAGTACTATGTCTGAGCGTTTAGCTTTTTGAAGAAGTTCGGACTGCTTTCTGTAGAAGTCATCTTTCACTTCATCCGAGCTGCAGTCAGTGACAACGTAGGCAGAAACAACGTATGTCTCTATCCTCCCGAATTCTTATGGAGCCGTTCCGCTGAACAACACATACACAACTATTAACGGGGATCCGTTCTAATGGTGCTTGTTCCGCCCTCATGCCTAGTGCTATGTCTACACCTGTCAGTCCACGAGAACTAGCTATTGGGTCGCCAGATAAACGGAGGGTGTATCTCGTTGGCTCTCCGTTTCACCGAGGTGAGGTCAAGTGAGTGATCACACTAGGATCCTGTATGTGTGTTTCGGAGACACAGCGTACATCAATGGTATGAGATTCTAGGGTTTTAGCCAAGGAAGCCTGCTGATATATAATTCAGCCTATACAGCTCGGTTTGGTCATCATGATAGGCAAGCCCGACCATCACGTCATTGTAGCAACTACGGTCGAGGTACTGACACAAACCAGCATCTTACCGTTTTTTTTTGTCAAACTTCTTTATTGTTTTTAAGGTGCATAGCACCATCATAGTTCTTCGTTCACATACTACTGTGCTATTTTATAACTTTAAAAGAGATATTATATCAAGTCAAATTTAGTTTTTAGAGCACTACTTCATATGATGGAATTATAATAAGATTGATATGACGGATGAATTAGAATATTTCCCTCTCTGCGATATACTGCCCTAGTACGATTATAAGACTGGATTGGATATTCGAACGATCCGCTCTACACAAACCAGATCACGTTATATCAGACACCTGATTCAAGACCAAAATAGAAAACCAGAGTAATACCAGAGGATACTTAATCCGGCCTAATTACAAGCAGTCGCCCTTAGTGAACGAAGGAAATCACATACTTAATAGTAAGTAAGCTTGTCGAGAAATATAGGAGTTTTCAAACCTAACCTAGGTTTGCTATGGTTCATTTGAGCTACTGATTCATGTTGATGTCATCTATTATCATAAATAGGAAAATTTCCACACAGTCGTAACCGAAATATTACGGGCATTTGAATCTATAACAAATTCATAATATTCGACTGGGTTGTGTGCATACGATGAACAGTATTGTGTTCAACTAAATTTTTGCAACTATTCTAGCTAAACGTTAAATTTTAAAATGCAACCAATATTCCAGATTATCATACCTTTCAAGGTCTAATGTCTTGTTTAATCATGAGGCCTTATTATTATAAAGTTTTCACACTGAATGTTCATACAGTACTCGATATCTTTGCATTAGGTAATGAATTCCCAACTCTCTTGGGAAAACATTTTAATAATTCCTTTATACAAATAGGTATTTATCTAGCAAAATTACCGAATATTATCTAAGAAATCCAATTCCCATTATGTTTTAATCACACATTATAATTCGACTTTTTACTGCTATTTATGCACCATGGCAATATAAATTATAATCTGATATTTTCTTATTTCGTCTCCTGATTATATACTGACTTTTATTGATTACTCGTTGCAGGACAAATGGAAACGAGCTCATCGTGTACCCCCTGAAGTTATGAAAGGTGACAAAACGCCTAAAAATAAATCTGTCGATGTTTTCGGTAGCCGAATAGGACGAGTTCATGTTGGCAAGTCTTCTGAACTAGAGAATTTACGACCTGGATCTACCATCCGAACTGCTCTGACCGGGCATCGAAAACGTGGTTTTGAACGAATAAAATCTGGTGTCAGCAAATCTAAAAAAATATCAGCTCCTAGTGACCTTAGCGTTAGCAAACGGCGTAAACTGTTTACTGATGCTTAACCAAATACACTTTTGCTCTCAAAAGAATAATGTTTCTTTTAAACTGGCAAAACTTGAAGATGATAAGGGAGTAAAAAAAGACGGGAGGCTTAGAACAGTAGCAATTAAAAGATGAGAGATTCCGCTGATTACCGTTCTAAATTATGGAGAGAGCGCTTGTAACTCATATTCTTGTAATTCACATAGAAATAACTATTAAGTGAATTTCGGCTGGCAAACCAAAAATTAAAACAGCTAAACTTTGGCAGTACTAAAAATGCTTCTCAGGTGTTAAAATAATGACAAGTTTTAGACTTGTGGCAAGGGTTAGGAATTAGATGCTTAATTAATTGAACCACTACAAACACACCTTTCACATAAGAGATAAGTAGTCTTCAGAAAGCATATTCGGATTAGGATTCCTCATTGGTTTAGTTGTCAGAAATAATGCCTCTCAAGATATTTAGCACTAAAATATAGAAGTTGAAGATTGCGAGATATAGACTCCGTCCCTTTAGAACGCTAGCCACCTGAATTTGTCTTAGACGCATTTCTGACATTAAATAACGAGTTCACAACCTGTAGTTTTTACTGCTGACCATAAACACTTCAATATAGGTATAACTACTAGGGCTTATTTCTCCAACTTCACTAGTCGCAAACCAATCTTTCTATCTCTTACCTAAGTTTCAGTTTAATGGGGCAAATACATCGTATTGAATATCTGATTTCTCCCCATAGATTGCTGGTCATTTGGTTTAGAGCGAAACGTAAGGTCACAGAAGATTTTGGAATCTGTTCTTGTGTTGTAGTTCAACAGTAAACAGCAAACAAGCAAAAAATTTAATTCAGAATATTGATAGCAGCACAAGAATAAAACCAGATACTTAGTAGGAAAAGGGTAAATAAAACTAAAGGGCACCGAAGCCAAAGATACGAAAACAGTCTGCCTTGCTGCGTGTAGTTTTGACTGCTTTGTCGCAGACTCCGATCAGGAAGTTGACACTAGATACTGCTTAACCACGGTCAACGACTTCACGGATTTATGCTGTCTTGTTCTGATTTCCTTCCTACCTCTTCCAAATCAGCTAGATGTCTGGGAATAAGCAGTGTCTTGGCACATACATGTCCCAACCACCCAAGTCGACTAATGTCACCAACTGATTCACCATTTCCATATGCCTTCAGCGCTGCTCAATTTGTGATCCCAGCACAAGCAAGCGTAACTTTGGCGGCATTTTTCGATAAGAAATTAACAACTTAGGTAGTGACTGATACTTCCATAGGTCATGTTGCGCATCTGTAGAGTAATACAAAACAGACAACCTGGCTAGTACAATTATCCATGAAACCGGTGGGGGGTCATCTCAACAAAAATCAGCACAGTTATTCCGTTGTTTATACGATGTTTTATGATTTCTAAACTTATCCTCACGTGGTAATGACCCTGGAGTATTTTCACTGACAGAATATCAGGGGACGGATAAATTTATGATTCTTAATATATTTGAAATAATATCGGGGAACCATCGACATGTGAAATGGGGTTATTTGTTGAGATGTAGATGGTGGTTGGAGGTAGTCAACAGTCCTGTTGACATAGTGCCCGCAGTGTCGAGTCACCTAGACTGATGGCCACATTGCAGCATGATCGATAGCATTCGATCTGCATTAATAAGGAATAGATAAGCATGACATTGATCACCACCCAGTGATCAATCAATTGTGGGGTTATATGTTTCTACTCATTAGAGCGTCTTATGTTATCGACAAGTCGAATACTACCAAATGATGACTAGCAAAAAATACTGGGCGTCTAGGACAATTCAAATTTTATCCTCAAGAATAGAGGAACCTATCTTTCAACTTCTTGTACTGACCAATGATAAGACGTCAATGAAAACTACTGGCCTGCGTCCCGATGACACAACGGATTTATATGGACCATAGTCTGGGTCACAACTTATGAAGTAAATCATGTTGGTAAACCAATAAACGAACCTCCATAGACTAAGGAATCGTTTCTATTTTATGTAGTAGAAGTTAATTGTGGTCAAAGCACTGGTGTGCTAGAATTTTGTTGTAGGAGAGCCCCCAGAAGTTTAGGGATGACAAACTTGGTGATAACTGTTATCCAATCTAAGTATTTGTCAAAAACTAGCTGTCCTGTAATCATTACTCATATGTGAAACATAGTTGAAGTGTTCGCCTTCAAAATTTACTTTTATTTGGCATAGGCTCTGTGTAGCCTAGTGTATTTGATATAACTCAAGTGAATGTAAAGTATTATCAGAAACTCATTACACATAGAATTGAGTTCTTACAATCTAAGATAAAAGGATCTTAAATTACTTACTGTGCAAAACCCAGCACTACATTTTGTAGTGCTATAAAGAAACTAAGGTTAAGGGTCATGAGGCTTCAGAGTGCAAAACGCAGTTATCGGAATTCCAAGTGGTATGATTCATTCACAGAATTAAAAGAACCACACATTTATGCTGTCCAACCAATGTCATATTTACCCGATCATCATGACTCCAGCTTCCATATGTAATCTTAAGTCCAAGCTTACTTTCAAAGCTAAATCAGAGATCTACTTGCATCACACCCGCTTAGAGCTCGTTTTGCTGACAGACAGATAGGAAAATGCACAACCTAGTTGCGTAAAAAGAATATATGTAAGCCGTAGTGTAGTCTTTAGTCAAGGAAAACGCAGTGGAGCATGCATTTAAGCAAGCCAAAACTATCAACTGTCAGAAATATTCCATCGGCATCATTCCGAGACTACACTGAAACTTATCTACAACTGTCAACAAGCACATAAACTACAGCTCCCCTATTAAAAAACACAGCTGAGTCCTTTTATTATTTTCAAATTAGAGTCTAATGTACGTTCGCTTATACTGATCATTCTACATTTATAAATAGAGGAAGCACAAAAGCTATTCCGAAACTGAACATATTGTTAATCAGACTTATAAACATTTTTGCTAGGTTTTATATTGTCCATGACTGACCAAAAATTGCCTTCTGCGAAATGCTATTTTGAGTACGAAAACAAAATATTCCATGCTTCAAACCAAGCCTTTGAAAAATAGCGCGTGGATGTTCAAACCATTAAAATATATTGTTTATTAGTATAGAGTTGTGGAAATGGTTGAGTTTTAATTGAGATCATGAACCGATCAAAGTTAGACCACCAATGAAAACTTGGAAGCACTGGACTACCGTTTCGTCCTAGTAAGAGACTCATCAGAAGTGCTTTCAGGTTTTCAATCGTGGTCTAGCACTGATCGGTTCATGATCACAATTATATCGTTTAGCACCCGAAACTTAGTTTCACCAAGCATGGAAGAAAATTCACATTATATAATATACAAGTAAACCAAAAGGGTTTTTATTACATGATCGACAATTCAGAAAAAGTAACCGATAAGTAGAAAATAAAGTTAAGAGATGAGACACTGTTAGAAGTAGGAAGGTATTCATATTTATTTTTTACATGAAGTCATCTGAATCATAGCCATCTTCATTTGTCCTCATTTTACTCTCAACAAACAAACGATCGTATGATCTTTTTTCTGCTTCTGCTGCACGGACTTTCTGTGCCTCAAGTTCTGACTTTTTCTTAGCAGCCAGAACAGCTTTTTCTTTGTTTTTAATGCGGATATCTCACTTCTCTCGTTCACCTCTTAAATCAGGATGTTGGCATTGCTCTTTTGTTTTATTTAGTCGTTTTATTACATCTCCATTGTGTTTTTCAACTACGATCTTTTGCACTGCTTTATTATTGTGAAAGGCTACTTGGCCAACATCCATATCATTGGTTTTTTTCAGGTTCTCCCACTTGGTATATACAACAGTGACATCGTTAAGTTTGC